GTCCAGGGGCAATTCGGCGACGGAGTTCTTTGCGTTTGTCGAGGGGGGTGGGGAGTTTGCGACTGCGGGGGCCACGATGTCGGCGCAGGGGCCGTGGAGTGGACGACTGAGCCGGGAGAAGGTCACGGTGTTGCAGTGGCATATCGACAAGGTATTGGCGTTGTTGGAGGCGCTGCAGGGGACCTCGTCGCTGGCGCGGTACAAGTTGAGTCTACATCGGCAGTGCATGTAAATGGAGTATTTTTGAGGATAAGCACTATTCACACGAACTCTAGGACAAATTTTCAGCATAGCAAGCAGGATAGCAGATCAGAAGAGCAAGAATTTATCTAGTCGCATATGAACCATGATCAGAAAAGCCACAACAGCAGCAAAGAACACCAGAAAGAAAACGATCGTAAACGCTGACAGAAGAAAGACTGCTATATATAACCCCCTCTCAATCTCTACAATCTCTATGCGGAAATCTCCACCGAATGCGAGACAACCACCGTCCCGTCCTTGAGCTGCTCCTGGGCAATCTCTTCCTTGGCCACCTGGGAAGCCGGTTTGGCGTCCGAGGCGCGCACCAGCGCCTTGACCTCGTCGACAGCCAGAGGCGGGTTCCAGGTGACGGCCGCCTCCTCCTCGGTTCGCTCCTGGCCGCAGGAGTAGCACTTGCGCCAGTCCGGGCGACAGACCAGCCAGGCTCCGCACTCCTTGCACTGGCGCGAGAAGACGTCCTTCCAGTTCTTCTTCTCGTCGTAGTTGAGGAAGAGATCGTAGTAGCGCAGCAGCCCGTCCCAGCGGAAGTTGAACCGGTTCGAGTCGACCGCGACGCGCTTGACCGCGTTGGAGAACTCGATCACCTCGCGGACGGTCGCGTCGGGGACGGACTCGTCCAGCGGGATCGGGGCGATGAGCTCGATCGCCTTGCGCGCGACGGCGTCGTACTCGGGCACCATCGACCCCCAGGCCCAGTTGATCGAGTGCGGCACGTAGGTGTCGAAGTTGAGGTTGTAGTCCTGGCGGATGAGCTGCCAGCCCGGGATGCCGATACCGGCGAAGAACTGCCACAGGCAGGAGACCTGCGGGCCCAGCCGGGGTTCGCGGAAGCAGACGTAGTTGAACTTGTTCATCTGGTTGAGGGCGGGGATGAGGCGCCTGGCGAAGTCGTCGTAGGGGGCGAGCGTCTTGCGGATGGAGAGCTCGGCTGCTTCTGCGTCCGCGGCGCGCTGCGCCTCCGCGAGCGCCTTGTGGGTCAGCTCGGCGGCGTAGGTCGAGGTCGACATGGCGGCGGTGATACCGGGGGAGTGCAGCGGGTTGGTGAAGCCGCAGGCGTCGCCCACGGCCAGCCAGCCAGGGCCGGAGACCACGGGGGACTGGTAGGTGAGGGACTTGCGGATGTACCAGGTCGTTCCTGGTCCGTAGAGATCCTCCACCAGTTCGAAATTGCTCATGAACTGCTTGATGAGGTCGTACTTTTCGACAAAGTAGTTGAACTTGCGCTCGGCCTCGCGGGTGCCGTACGCGGACATGTCCTCGGGGTACTTGACGTCGTTGCGGACGGCGAACCCGATGCTGGTCACCCACTGGAACTTGAGGTCGAACATCTTGGCGAGTTCCTCGGAGCTGGGGATCTGGTCCCCGGGGACGCCGGCCTCGGCGCAGTCGAGCAGGTACGAGATCATGTCCATCAGGTTGGGGATGGGGCTGCCCTCCCAGGAGGGGAGACGGATGACCCAGGCCCAGCCCTCGGGGAAGCACAGGTGGTTGGTGTGGTCACCTTCGTAGAAGCGAAGGGGGATCTTGCTCTCGTCCTTGGGGGCAGTGAAGTAGCCCCAGAAGGCGTCGTAGTTCCAGCCCTCGAACCGGTGGAGGGAGGCCTTCTTGGAAGCCAGCTGGCGGAACCGCCCGGTGGCGTCGACCAGCAGGGAGGAGTCGATGGTGGTGGCGGGTTTGCCGTCGAACTTGCCCGGGTTGATGGCGATCCTGTTGCTCTGGAACCCACCCTGGATGGTGCTGCCGTTGAAGTCGACCTGGCGGCCGTGGAAGACGTTGACGCCGCTGCGCTGGGCCAGCAGAGTGAAGAGCAGCTCGCTGATGGGGCGCTCGATCTGGAAGCCGCTGAGGAAGAGCCCGGGGGTGCCATTGCTGCAGAAGTCGGTGTAGTGGCCCTGGTTCTCGCGGTCGAGGAAGTAGAAGCAGAGTCCATCCTTGAGGCCGAAGAGACGCAGCATGTACTCGGCGGTCAAGCCGTGCATCTTGCACCACAGCGAGAAGAGAGGCAGGGTGCTCTCGCCAATCTTGTAGCCTGGCTTGGTGCCCTTCTCGATCAGGGAGATGTTGAGCTTGCCGGGCTTGTACTTGGCAGCGTGGATGGCGTAGATGAGGCCGTGGATCCCCCCACCGGCGACAACAACATCCGACTTCTCAGGGATGTCGGCACCAGCAGGGTTGTTGGAGTTGAGGATTTGTGCATCGTTGAAGTTATTGGCGGCAGCACGCTCAGCGAAGATGTGCTTGGGAGTGGGCTTGATCTCAGTCATTTTGGTAGTAAGAGCTTAACTTGATGATTGAGAAGATGATTGGATTCGAGGAATTGGAGGATTGTTGTTGTTGTTGTGTGAGGATGAAGGGTGAACCATTCACAGGACTTTATATTCATTTCAACAGCAATTGAACCTCTGCATACTACAGCAACTTCATTCTGCGCCGTAATTCCTCCAGCGTTCTTCTCTGGCTGTCCGAGTCCGCAGCGGAGGAGAACATCCGCATATACGCGGATCTTGCTGACATCCCGCGGACGCCTCATTGTCTTCACAACTTGACTACTCTGTTATCGTTCAGGTTCACGGCGTTCCAGAACTCTGAGTGAATGTTGATCATCTTAATCTGATCGCGGACTGAACTTGGAGCTCCTGCTCCCTGGATTCCGATTCTTCAGTCTTACACGCATTGTCTTACTCGAGTCATGGAGGACAACTATTAGCTACGGCTGAGTATATCCAGTCCAAGGGCCTATGAATAAGCCAGCTGCTATTCAAGAGAAAAGCAAGGCTTCCATGGAGCACAATTCGCCCCGTCTATAAAGCTTCTAGAAGACGTCTCCCTATTCATAAAGTCTTCCTCCCCACCATAATCGCCTTGAATCACCATATACTATAACACTACTTTTTGCTCTGTACCTGTATTAACGTCAACATGTTGGCCACAGCCGGAGTCACCAGCCGAGGACCGGAATTGTATGTCCCGTCTATCGTGTGTTATTTGTATACTGACAAGATAGAAACCCGCACACTCGTCCTCACATCCTCGCCGATAGCGTTGTTCCCGTCCCATCGGCCCCTCTCAAAGACAGCAATGTAGCAGCCTATGAGCCTCTCGTCTCGCCTGCACTTCTGATCCACGAGTTCCCCATTACCCCCGCCTCTCGACGCACGATCGAGTCAGCCCGACAGGGGGCAGCGCAGATCATCCAGCGGAACGGCGACGACCGGCTGCTAGTCATCGTGGGCCCCTGCTCCATCCATGATACCGACGTGGCACGCGACTACGCCATCCGTCTGCACGCTGCCATCCAGGAACACGGGTGGGACAAGGATCTCCTAATCGTCATGCGGGCCTACCTGGAAAAGCCGCGGACCACCGTGGGCTGGAAGGGTTTCCTCTACGATCCAAACATTGACTCCACCAATCAGGTCAACCGGGGATTGAAGGTACCTTAGCCCTCTGTAGCCCTGACAGTAAACGATCAATGCTCAAATTAGCTGCAGATTGCGCGTCAGTTGCTGCTCGACATCACGGCGCTCGGCCTCCCCGTTGCCTGTGAGGTGCTCGACACCATCTCCCCGCAGTTCCTGGCCGATCTGTACTCCTGGGGGGCAGTGGGGGCGCGCACGACCGAGTCGCAGGTGCACCGACAGCTGGTCTCGGGCCTGTCGTTTCCCATCGGCTTCAAGAACGGTTCCTCGGGGAATATCAATATCGCCCTTGACGGGATGAAGAGCGCCGCGTCTCCACACTCGTTCTTAGGTCTGCCAATAACACCGGGGTGGTCATTTCCTGTGCTGACCGTCTGCAGGCGTTACCGAACAAGGTCTCGCAGCCATCGTCCACACTAAAGGAAACCCTCATCTCCACGTTATCCACCGTGGAGGAGACAGCGGCCCCAACTTCGACGCTGCTTCTGTTGCGTCCACGGTGAAGGCTTACCCGAAGAACCTCCAGCCAAGTATCATGATTGACGCGTCGCACGGCAACAGTCAAAAGGACTACCGTAACCAGCCCAAGGTGATCGATGCGATCGCAGAACAGGTTGCTGCGGGGGAGCAGGCGATCACCGGAGTCATGATCGAAAGTAACATCAACGAGGGCAAGCAGGCTGCGCCACAGTCGGAGGATGAGGTGCAGAAGCTCAAGTATGGTGTCTCCATTACGGATGGCTGTGTTGGTTTTGAGACTACGGTGAAGATGCTCCAGACGCTCAGCTTGGTATGTCGGAATGTCCTCTGCAGAGGTTGATACTGACTCTATCTAGGCTGTCCAGCAGCGACGGGCTGCAGTATGTCAGGGTTGCGAGAATCAGTCGACCTGTGATGAGTCGTGTAAGTGGTAGATTCTGTATAGCGGTTGTTCTTTGTTTAGCTAGATACTCAGTATGTCGGTTCAAAAGTAGCTATGTTGATATCTATGAAATCCATTGTTGAATTCGCTATCTCTCAATACGTATCATTCTTCAGTCCCGATTACTTTTATGCATCCCATCATGGGCAATACATAAACATCCACGTACATCAAGTATCAACCACAACATGACTCTTGACAAATATCAGCCCTGTTTCACGTCCATGATAATTCTCTAGATGAAGATGTCCTTCTATTTCCATGGAATTCGGGACAGCCCTCGGAGTTTCGGAGTTTCGGGGCGCCAGGACCAGTTCGGATTTTTGGGGGATCGTCCTCGGAGGCTGGAAGATCTCCAAAGACGAAACACTCTCGTAGATCTCGAGAGCTAAGAATGCTTGGCTTGTTTGGGCTCATCTCCATCGTGAGGTATCCCGTCTATCATTGGATGCGGCCATGCTCCACATAGCACCCCCTTCGGCTTCCTTGGCCTCGGAATGAGGAAGGCTTCTTTTGCTCCGAGGATTGAGTCTTGCTTATCAATATGGAGTTCTGGATATAGCTTCTCGCGCTGCGAGTATGGCCTCAAAGGTATAAAGACAGCGACCGGAAGGGTATCCTGACCTCGTCAACAGCATCATCGGCAACAGCAATCATCTACATACATGAGCTTCTCTCCTCTCTTGAGAAACGCACTTCGATTACAAACTCGTTCCGCTTTCCCACGAGTCCAACAACGCACTTTCTCCTCGTCTATCTTTGCAATGGCTCCATTCACCCTCTACACCCACGCCGGTAAGACCTTCCCGAATGATCTGGAGCTACTACTGAATGCCTGTAGGCCCCGGCCCCAATCCTGTCAAGGTGGCCATGGCCCTCGAGCACCTCGGTCTGGACTACAACTGTGTTCCCCTTGGATTTGGCGAGGGCAAAGGCACCGTCAAGGATCCCGAATACACCTCCAAGGTCAACCCCAACGGCCGAGTCCCCGGCCTGATCGACCACCAGAACAACGAGTTTACCGTTTTTGAGAGTGCCGCTATCCTAAGATACTTGGCTGAGAAGGTACCCATTGCCCCATTTCCCTCTGTGACACGCAGCTGACAGACCAACTCAGTATGACCCCAGCGGCAAACTCGCCGGCAACACCCCCGAGGAACGCGCCACCGTCAACCAGTGGCTCGCCTGGCAGGTGGCCGGTCTGGGCCCCTACCAGGGCCAGCTGGTCTGGTTCCTCGCCTTCCACGAGGGCGCCCACGGCGAGAAGGCCAACGCCTCTGTGATTGCGCGCTACCAGGCCGAGGTTGAGCGTCTGCGGTCAGTGCTGGAGAAGCATCTCGCGTCCGCGGAGAACGGGTTCGTTGCGCTGGGCCGCCTGACGATTGCGGACTTTGCCATCCTGCCCTGGTTGAAGATCTCGGTTCTGGCTGGGTCTGCGCTCAAGCCGTTTGAGGAGTACCCGGCTATTGATGCTTACATCAAGAAGCTGGATGCACTGCCCGAAGTGCAGGCCGCTTACAAGAAGGCTGTGCCTCCTATGCAGTAGATTAGCCGTGGAGATCAGCGAGAATATGTACATAGATTACAATTTGACTTCTTTACTTTCCTTCTTCCACCCCGTATCGTTTGAAATTTGCACGTGCCATGTGTATTCATATTGTTGGTCACCTTCATGTTCAACGCATAGAAGTGCTTCCGTACTCGTCGTCAACATGCCCTTCCTTGACAAGCATATATCGTGGATGTAGCCATTCTGACTTTTGTTTGTACTTATGCTACCCCACCTAAGAACAATGTGTCACATCTCACCAGAATCTACATTCCTTCGAGCAGACTAGTCTACGCAAGCCCATCTCGTTCTCTAATGATACCCATACTGGGTCCCACGCTCTCCTCTCGCCCAGTACACTGCCATTCTCAGACCATAGCCTCAATCACACCTTCAAGAACCTCTAGAAACTGAATCCAACTCCCTGAATACCTTGACTAAGACCAGCGAGACTTGCTTGTAAGCTGACAAAGCTGATATAACGGCCTCAGATTGGGGGAACGCTTTCATTACCGAGTCTCTGCCCATGGCGGACGGAAACCGCGGACGACGGTGACAATTATGTAGCCAATCCAGGCAGATACAATGTAATCTCCGTGAGTTAACAGGTTTATGCCTTGCTTCCGGCCTACGAGTCGTCACGGTGTGCTTTCCAGTGCTGAACCTGACTACCAGTGCGCTCTGTGAGTAACTACAGGGCCATCCACGTGTAATATCCGTTGGTACGGTATCCATGAAGGAGGCAAAACACGTCCTGCAGTGCTCAGGGCGAAGGGCCATCCGCGGAGCACGGATACCGTGGGAGAATACCTCCAATGATTGGTACTTGGGGGTCTCAGCCCAGGAGGGCCGTACGTACATAGGAGGCCGTACGTACATAGGAGCACGAGAAGCGGCCTTGCTCAGATTGAAAGCAGGAAGTGCAGAGCCAGACGCCAGCCCAACGCCAGCGCAGCCGTATTCAAAAGTCTTTATTAATTGCTATTGCTCTTGTACTGGTAATCCCGGCCATTAGTTGTCTCCCTCATCCATAGCAAAATGTTGTCCAACACCATCACCATCGTTCCCAGCATCGAGGCCCGGGTCGTCGAGCCCTTGCAGCCATTTGACACCTCGCGCCGGGTGAGCTTCCCTGCGGCCCTTCCCCTCGACACGCTGGCGTGGGCGAGAAAGAAGGCGGCAAATGAGGCTCTGGTCGAACGCGTCGCGGAGATCATCGCCTCGTACCGCATCAGCGGGCCCGAGGACCGGTACGAGGACGTATACAAGCCCAAACTCCTCGAGACGCTGCGGTATTTTGTCTCCAAGCAGGAACCCATCAACATGGTGGTCCCCGCGTACCCGTTCAAGAGCCCCAACCGCGAGGAGAAAGTCCTCGGACCGGACCCAGACGTCGGCGAGCGCATGTCCCTCGAGCATTTCAACTCGATGGGTGCGCGCATCCAGCAGATCTACCCGCCCGGTGGACACGTCACCATCGTCAGTGACGGGTGCTGCTATAATGACCTGCTGGGCGTGTCCGACGAGGAGGTCTTCCGATACGCAGAGGGCCTGCACCGCATCGTGGACAGGCTGGGGCTGAAGCATATCAAATTCTCAGACCCCTTCGACCTGATCGAGGGACGACACAACGTCCCCGTCACTGAGGAGGAATACGCCAGCCGCATCGGCGAGCTCAAGGACCGGCTGTTTCGCTTGTATCTCCCCGCCGGCTACGACTTTGACGAGGACCTGAAGAAAGACCCCAACGCGACCCTGACATATCGGGGCTACATCCGGTTCCTCATGTCCGACCTCGCCCTCTTCTTCAAGGAACAGAAGATGAGCAAGAGCGCCATCAAGAAGCACTGCTCCAACGTGGCCCGCGGCATGATCGAACGCGGCAAGGCATTCTCCGCCCTCGTCGCCACGGCCTCCCCCCTGCACGTCCGGCTCTCCATCCACGCCAGCGACAACACGGGCAAGCTCTCCGTCGCGCTGCTGCCGCACAAACGGTACAGCACCTTCCCCGTCACCCCCTGGCACAACACGCCCTACCTGGACACGGCCAGCGCCTCGCTCAGCCTGAGCCGCAAACCCACCGACGGGGCCATCCCCTACCGTCTCTGCCAGGACGAGCTGGGCCTGCACTTCCTCTGCGCCGACGTGCCCATGTACCGCGTCATCGAGACCCCGGACGTCCCGGCGCTCACCCAACACCTCCAATTCCAGCCGCTCTACCCCTTCGGCCTCAAAATCAGGGTTCCCAGGGACACCCCCATCAGCCAATTCCGCCTGGCGCACGTCGCGGAACTCGCCAAGGTGCACTCGCCCATTATCTTCGAGGGCCTGGATCCGATGCAGTATACCGCTGCGATTGCGGATGATTTCCGCCGCATCGCAGGGGGCGGGCTGTCGCTGAGCATCCTGCACGAGGGGGTCGCAACGACCACGCCGACGACCAGGAACCAGCACCCGGGCGAGAGCGCCGCGGCGTCGTATTTCGTGCAAATTTCGGCCGCGACGGGCGACGACGCGCAGCCCGCGCTTCTGCCGTTTATCGAGGCGGCGGCTGCGCTGGACGATGTGCGGTATCGGGTGTTGCATCGGTGGCAGGCGGGCCATGCGGTTGTCGCGGACCATCGCGTTGCGCTGCCGGTGCATCTGAGTCCGTCCAGTTTGAGGGTCCTGCGTGGGGGGGTTTAATGGTCTATAATCTAGATATCTGTGTTTTTGCTTGATAGTATAGTACGTGGATTTGAGTATTCTTGCCCTTTTGGCAGGTAGATGCCATTCGTTTTGCTTGTTTATTCTAGATGTTATTACCTATAAGTATATAGACGCCAGACTGAATGAACCGCGCTTGTCTTCCATATTCTGCCCATCAAACAGCTCTTTTTTCTTCCGTAATGCATAGCAGAAACAACGCGAGACTAAATGCAAGATCTACTGAACCCCCTCTCGGCTTCCCAAGCCTGCCGGCGCAGCGAAACTCCGCGGCGGCAACGGGCATTCCCCAGACTCCGCTCGGAAGTTTAGCATCACAACATCCATGCCGAGCGCGTCCAGCGACAAGGCTGAGGGCTGAAGAATGCGGGCTTAAAGAGTCTGACGATCTGACTAGAGCGGCAGGGGCTGCTGACCCGAGTCACGGCTGAAGGGCTGAGCTGATGCCACCCAATTGGAGGACGGTAGACAGAGGCATATTAGGTATACCTGAGGATACAGCAGTGTCAAAGGATTCATAGAGATAAGCCATTTTCATTCATCGTCGTCATCATACATCTAGTCATGAGCAAGTATATCCCAACCAGCGCCTAAGATCCACATCGATACCCTATCAACAGGACCCATTACAGATAGAACAGCAAGACAAGCACTTTCCCCGGCCCGGTATAGTCTATACCTCGTGGTAGACTTTCTGTTTCTTGATCCCCCCCTCCCACGCCGTTCCCTCCGCGGACAATTCGCCCGGATACCCGTCCAGACTCAGACCCCGCTTGCTCGGGCTAACAGGCACATCCTCGCTCAGATGGAACGCGAACGCATGCTGCTCGTCTAGCCAGGTGAGCAAGCCCGCGTCTAGCTCGGCCGGATCAAACGGGCCCATCTCGGTCGTTGCATCGGCGAAACCGAGGGGAAACCCGTCCGGGAAGTCGGGGAATTGCTGGCTCAGGGCGTCCAGGTCTGCATCTGTCAGCGGGGCCAGGGGCGAGGGGAACGGCGTGGCCGCGCTGGAGACCATGGACGGGGGAGTAGGAGTTGTGAATGCGGATGTGTTGAGAAAGGAGCCGGACAGGACGGTGCTGTCGGGGAGAGAGGTTTGCGTTTGCGATTGTCCTACAGGTCCCCCCTGGCGCTGGTGGCCGTGCTCGTTGAGCCATGCGACCCACGAGGAGTCCATGTGCCGGGCTGTCGGCGTGCCACTGCCACTGTAGTGCTGCTTGCGGCCATCCTGCCGCTGGTGCTGGTGCTGGTGCTGGTGCTGGTGTGCGTCCGCGGCCGCGGACAGCAGAGCAAAGTAGCTGGTGGCGCTGCTCCGAGAGCGAACGCGGCCGCTCTCGTTGAGATTGGAGCAAGCCATGGGCAGCGAGGAGGTGGAGGAAGTCGGCGAGATTGCGCCGGACAGTGATGCAGGGTTATTGCGTCTGGTGAGGGCGAGCCACTGCACCCATCTCGCATCCGGATCTCTCCCCATGGGCGTGCTGGATCCGCTGCGGGTGCACTGCATGTTGTAACTCTGGTAACCACGTGGGATATGCCAAGGGCTTTTCACAATATCTTGAAGGAGCAAGGATTTGCAAAAAGGCTCTAGCGGTGTGACGGATAATAGATATATACTGCGTGGTTACCAGGCAGCTGAAACAGGACAACTGATCAGACAGGTAATGCTGACTACGGTGCATGTCTTGGCTGACCAGCCAGGAGATGCATCGCCATTTATACAAAGGTCTGTTCGCCCTTGGCGATTCTCCGTGAAGACTTGGGTGCGACTAGGGCCTCCGTCGGGGCATCCGTTGGAGCGAGATGGGTCGCTGCCTGCGGACGGATTGTCGCAGTCGGCTGCAGCCACGACGGCCCTGCCGTGCTCATATTCAATGAAACCAGACTCCGATGGGGCGACAATACAATACTGTCCAGTGCACGGAGGAGACTGCAGAAAGTCGACGGCGAGAACCGCTGATCGGCGCCAATGAGAACAGGCCCAATCCTCGGTGGAGTATCAGTGTAGCGTCGGTGCAGTGTTAGTTCGACCCCCATTTGCCGTAATGTCTCTAGTCTCGCCTGTTGGTTTCAGAAGACGCAGAGTCGTGGACTGATGTCACCATCCAGGCTGAGTTTCACTCGCTCAGCAGCATCATGTCGCCCACGTGTATACTGCGATCAGCACAGATAATCAGACAGAGATGTGGATAGGCTGACAGAAACGTGGCAGGTGCAGCGAGCATGGTCTATCTGTTTCTACCGTGATGCAGATGTAGGCATTCTACACTCTGTCTAAGAGCATATCAATTGAATGCTCTCTACCTGCATCCTCTACTCTACTATCGGACTGTAGATTAATCAACAAGTATACAGTAGAACATGCTAGACAGGCGTCCACAGTATAGACACCCTCGACCCTGCATGTAATTAGGAAATACGAGTCCGCACTGCCTTCCGCGCAGTTAGGCTTCAAAGAATACCACCGTATCCCTTACGGATACGGGCGAATCCTTCAGTTATTGCAGCTACTTTAGCGTGGAGGGGTACAGTCGAGTCAAAGCACGGCTTTCCTCCTCACCAACAGACTAACCGAGCAAAAGCCACTAGTCCAGACTACAGAATTAAAAAAGCCTTCCGTAGACCGTCAGAGACTCAGAGACTCAAATCCGAGACTAAGATCGGCGCTACACATTCCTCCAAGGATCCAGGGCCCTCGGATGGAGCCACGGAGCGTCCGCGAAACTCCACGGAGTTTCGGTCAGTCCTGCTCCCTCTCGTCGTATGTCCGGCAATCCGCTGAGGAAAATCCCTTTAGGACAGACCCTCCAGGCCCTCGGAAACCAATGATGCGCCTCTAGCCTCAGGAAAAGTACAAATACCAAGGGCCCCAAGACTCGGCATCTGACGTGAGATAGCGCCACTCCCTCCTCAGCCTTGACTCAGACCACCTTGAATCTCTCCATCATCCAATTATACTCGCTGTCAGAAAAGAAAAAGTAAAATAAAATAAAAATGCCTACTCAGCACCGCATCCTCTCGCTCGTCTACAACGAGTTCGAAGCCCTCGACCTGTTCGGCCCATTGGGCGCCATCATCCCCCGCAGCGACTACTACACTCTCGAGTTAGTCAACCTGCACAATCTCGACTCGCCCCATGGCATCGAGACCTCCATGAAGAACGGCATCGGCGTGATCCCGACCCTCTCACTGGCCGAGGCCCTCAGGGAGGACCAGCAGTTCGACACCCTGTTCATCCCTGGTGGCTTCGGCATGATGCCGCTGGTCTGGGACCCGATCCTGCTGCAGCGCATCGGTCAGCTGGTCGACCGCGCCCCCAACGTCTTTACCGTATGTACGGGCTCGATCCTGCTGGCTGCGACCGGCCGGCTGGATGGGCGGAAGGCGACGACGAACAAGCGGCTCTATGACGAGCTGACTCCCAAGTGTATGATGTCACCGTCCTGCTTCGAATTTCACAGCATATGCTAATCGATCGAGTTGCCTAGACCCCGGTGTTCACTGGCAGAAGCGCGCCCGCTGGGTGCAGGACGGGAAATTCCTGACTTCCTCCGGTGTCACGGCGGGTATCGACGCGGGCTTTGCTTTCATTGCAAGCACGTACGTCGCGCCAGACGACCGCCAGGCTCACCCGGAGGCTCAAAAGTTTTCTCCACAGGGCGATGAGACTCCCATTCCGGGCTTCAGCAAGGAAAAGGCTCTGCGTCATGCCCACTTCATCGCCTTTGGGTTGGAGTACCGCTGGCACTCGGATCCTGCTGACGATCCCTTTGTGGATTTGCCAGGAACCAACGGCAACGCATAGATAAATTTTCGTTGACTTTGCTTTTATATTCCTCAATGAATTGAATGAACGTGCTAGTCTACTTTTTCCAAGCGTCATAGGCATCACGACCGTAGGGGGTGCGATAAGTAAGGAAATAGGAAATACAGCAGTCCCCTGAGTCGCCATGGTCTACATAGGAGCGAGTGCCCCGTCTCCCATCGCATAATAAAACTTGGCGGCAACGTAGGCATCAGCGCTAGAAGGAGTCGTGGCAGAGTCACTCCCCAGCCCGATAGGTTCACTCTGCAGGGACGAAGGTGATGTATGCGTCATACGGGTGCCAGGAGTACTACTATACGAATCGGCAAATTGACAAGTGCCCAGCCCAATGGGGCCAGGCAGGTCTCCCAGGGTAGCAAACGAGACCTCCTTGGTGTGAAAATCCGGTGGTGGCGGGGGAAAGTCCAAGAATTGCCAGAAGTTAGGGCTCAGGCCGTTGGAGAGAATCGGCAGCACGTCCAAGTCGGGGAACCCGTCAGCGACATTGGCAAACGGCATCGACATATCAAACGGCGAAAAGGCATCAAAGGCTGCCTGCTGCTCTTGCACGGGTGCGGTGGCAGGGTCGGCCGTTCCGCTCAAGGTCTTGAGAATATCGGCGACCTTGCGTCGTAGCGAGTTTTGTGCGCTATTGTCTGACCCGGCCGGCTGTGCTCCTGGACAATTTCCAGTTGGATTACCCGGGTGGTTGCCGCCGCTGTGGTCAGAGTCGTCTTCTTCAAGCTTCATCAAGGCTTCCAGAGCAACGACACTGCGCTGCGCAGAGCCCTTGACTTGCTCCAAGTGCAGGTCGTGAAGCGACGACCCTTCCGTGATGCTCTTGGTCCGTAATAATTCAATCGCTTCCCTGATCTTGTCGCGAGTCATCAATCGGCTGAGGTGTGCACTTGCACTATCCGCATCCGCTTGCTTGGATGTGAAGAGCAGGTCGATGAGCAAAACAACGGCCGCGTTGAATAGCTGGGTCTCGCTGGTCGACAGCGAGCCACAAACCGCGCATCGCGCCTGGATCTGAGCTTGGGTACCGATAATATTTTGGGCCAGAAGCTGACAGGAAGCACGGCCAATTGGAGAGGACAGATTGGCTCGATGCAGTCGAAGGAGTAAGCTCCACAGTTGCTGGTGCAACATCCATCGTTGCACGGGGATCGCTGCCATTGGGCCGGTGGCTGTGAGTCCTACAGTGCTGCCCAATCGAAAATACGACGGCAGGCCAGCAACGTACTTTTCGTACTTGTTGTTGAGATGTTTGCGCAACTGGGCAGATTCAGTGGTCGCGTCGGGCCGCAGAGTCAGGGATCCCCATAGATCAACCGATTCGCGTACAATGGTAGCAAGTTCGAGGGCATGGACAGTATACGACATCATGGTGAACTCGGATCGAGGCCGCTCCGTGATTTCGCCATTGACGCTCACCCTCCATGTCGACAGACAGAGATCATCATCATTGATGTGCAACGGCATCCGAGTGTTGAATTGTGATGGATGGACGGTGTAGTAGCCGAGGGCTTGTCCGCGCGACCAATCCCTTTGTACGAGTGCCCACCTATACGGAATTGTTAAAGCTCGACTCAAGATCATTCTGCTCGGGTGCCCTACCAAATGCGAATGCCTATTTCCGTTCGAATATGCGGCTGTTCCGCCGGTGCTGACGTGCCATTGACCAAGGGTGCAGAGTGTGATGCAGAGGCGTCTAACTTGATGTCACCCAACCGGTGCAGACCGAGTTTGCGGGCTCCAGAAATCGCAGTGACCAGAACAGCGTCCAGCGCCAACGAGCCCTCCTGCCCGTCAAGCAAAAGCATAATCGCTGCCTGTAAACCGGCGATCGAGCCACAAAAGAGAGACACTCCGTCCTGGAGACAGCGCAAGCCCAGCGATCTCCAGGTCTTCGAGTGCATATCTGACGCTCGAAGCTCCTCTACCCGTAGAGTCAGAGGCGTAGGAGTCCATCCTAGTAGAGACGGTGTGGGATGAAAAGCGAGACCGAGCACGAGCTTAGAATCAGACGATGATGTGAGCAGATGCCTTTTGCGGAGGGTATACTACACGTACCGCTAACAGATAACAGCCCAGTGTCTCCATCGAGATCGTACTGGATATCGCCAAGACGCGCGAGTCCGGTGAAGCAAGACTTAGGCAGTTGCGGAACTGCTCGGCTTGCTTCATGAATGTTGGAGTGTGAACCACATTCCCCAAGGGACCCTGGCAACGAGTGACAAAGACCTCAAAGAGCACATGAATCATCTCCAGCTCCGGCATCGCGTCGACGATCTCTCGGATCAAGGCGAGTTTGTCACCGTGTCGCTTGGGGTCATTACTCGACCAATACCGATTCGGAAAGTCTGGTGCGACTGACGACGGTGTTGGTCCAGAGACAGCGGGTAGGTAGGCATTTGGACGAGGAACTCCTTCGACGAAATGCTCCAAGAGTTGTGCGGTCTCCTCTGCTTCAACTTCCCCGTCTCCATTCGGAGGCGGATTGCTGATAAGATAAGCATCATTAAGTGGTGGTCAACTATGAAGCGACGGCAAGCTACACTCACTTCTTGGAGGCGGTCTTGTCTTTGTGCTCGGTTTTTGACCGTTTGGCTCTGGGTTGACGCTCATCTTTGGTGCAAAGATGGCCGATGTTACGCTTGACGCATTCCATCTGGAAAGAAAGATGAGCCTCCAGCCTCAAATGGATGAATCGCATGGAGGAAATGGCAACTGACACAAGGCTCTTTGCGGTCGCATTTTAGCTTGGAGGCCCTACATCGAGAACACGAAAGCGTAAACTTGCGGACACCAGAGTCCGAGCCCGCGGGGGCCTTGCTGCGGTTTGCATCAACCATTCTTATTATTGTTGGTGGTTGGATGAAAACAGGACATGGTTTAGATCAGGGACAAAATGGTGGGCGGAGATTGTTGTCTGCAATCCAACTGTACTGTAGTCGCCGCCGGCTTACGCGCCGATCTTCCTGCAATCTGGTAGGTCAGTTGCCCACTCGGTAGCGTTATCTCCTGTAAGAACTAGGAGCACTTGTGTTAGTCTGCTGTCTGAGTCTCTCTCTGGTGTGGGCCGTGTCTTTGTTGACTTGCCAGTTGACGGTGCGGGGTTGACCGCGTCCAAGTGGGTCAGCTGACGGTGAGCTTGTTGTATTTGGGGCCAAAACGGAGCCACTTGGAGAGATAAGAGATGTCGATCAAGGTAGGGAGGGTAACAGGAGCATACTATACAGTATGGACTTGTCTGTAAATTGCAGTCGCAATGGTTCTGTGTGTTTTTCCAAGCGAGATGTGTTGACAGTGGGCAGTAGTGGACAGTGGACGATGAACTGGTTGGCTGAGTCAGAGTGCCTCGGACCCACGTGATTTCAAGCTAGCGTGGTGCCTAAGGTGTCACCCCTGCCTCAGGAATCTGCTTCGCAAATGAGAACAGAGAAAAAAAACCAACAAAGATATTTTCAGGAGTCGAGCTCGGAGTTGCTTGGACTTGTGGCAAATTGCCTATTGCACCATGTCTCGTCTACTCAAAGTTATCTTTTTTGCAGCCCAGCAACCGCGTCGAAGCAATCGCCATTCGTGGTATCGCACATCCACGCCACTTATGCAACAACGGGCATACCAGGAGGAAACAGAGCAGGCTAATTGTGAGATTATTGCTTGTTGCACTGACATCATTTTCTTCCGCTATCATCGGTCTAGAGTATCAGTCATTGCGCAGAGCATTGTTGTGAAGACTGTTCAGTGGCTTGTCAAACTGGTGCCTCAACCGGGCATATGTGCTGGGTACATGTCAATAGTCGTATTGCGCCTGAAATCCTGATTGATTGCTTCATACTTCTTGTCGCAATTCTAAGACCTTTAGATAAGTCATCTGCATAGAAAGGAGGTACTCTCAGGTCTATATTCATCTTCGCCTAGTTGATGGTCGGTTGAGAGAAACTCAGGCGTAAGATATATATCCTTGCGTAGAATCAAGGTATTCAGCTCGAACGTCACCTTAGCGATTATGTTCGTTGAAATGGTTGGAATACTGAACTTTGATCGACACTTCTTACACTTTGACTTGGTAATCATAGAATTTAGTTATGGCTTTGCTAGGATCGTTCCAGGAGCCGAATATAGGCCTATGCGTCTCAATAAAACTAGATGTAGAGGTTGCCAAAGCTGGCATGTACATTATTCTAAAGAGAGAACAAAGTATATTTCGTGGCCAAAGACTGTCTTATCCCTCGTTTCGTAAAATGGCTACAGCGATGCATGGATGGTACTTGTCTCCTCAACGCCCATGGCTGCAATGCTCGACTGGCCCCGTTCCGCAGCCACCATGTTGCTGATACTCTGAATGATAAAGGATGGCCATATGCCTTCAGCCTGGCAGTCCTCCTCCTTTGTGACACCTGTCAGGACAAGAAGGGAATCAATATTACCATGTCCGGCAAACAGGATATCCGTATGGAGGTTGTCTCCAACGAATATCGTCCGATTCTCGTCGATGTTGTAAAGCGACTTTACCGTGTCAAGCATGGGAGCATGCGGTTTGCCAATAATGATCGGCTCGCGCTTTGTCGAGGCGATCAATGGCGTAGCGAGAGAACCAGAGCCTACAAGCTGCGGTCAGGGACTACCCAACATCCTCCCAAAAAGAGGAATACTACCTGGCCATAGCTCTCCTAGAGCCGGAACCACTTTGTCGTCGTTTGTCAAAAGGAAGTGACAGCCTCCTCCCCTTCCTCCTGCAAGGACAGGCCCTTGGGCTCCTTCGCGCGTCAAGTACTTGAATGCTTTGCAAAGTTTGGCGTAATTCATGTGCATATCGAACCCACACAGAACGGCGCCAACACTGGGATCGATCGCTTCCTCACTTGCTAGCGAAGAATAGTCGTTGGCTGGGAGAAACTGGTTGTCCTCAGGGGAGGTTCCTCCGCAGCGCTTGATGTTGACGGCATCAAGTTCTGCTTCGATCCCTTCCATCCCCATCACGAACACCTTGCGATCAGCGGGGAACTTGAGGACTTTCTTGAGATAAACAGCTGCTGCAAAGGCGCTGGATACAATCTCCTCCTGTTCAGTAGTTATAGACTTGTCAGCAGGTGACCCATTCATAGCGCGTTGGTCATTACCTCACTGGCTGCGATTTTCAGTCTGTCAAACTTCTTCTTGAGCATCTTCCGACTCCTTGCAGCATTGTTCGTGACAAATACCACTCTCTTTCCATTGTCTCTCAAGACGTCGATTGCCTTGCTCGCTCCTTCAATAGCATCGTCCCCAGACCATATCACCCCGTCACAGTCGAAGAGCCAGGTGTCATAGCGACTCAAAAGTTCAGCATAGTCGCCAGGATCTGATAGCTTGCGAGACGATGCCATCGCAAGCAAGATTGTCCAAGATCACAAAAAAAAAAAACAACACTGATTACTGCCTCTTCATACAAATAGGATAGTCTTTCGTGTGCGCGCTTCAATATGACGCTTCCCTTCGCGTACGGATTCCGAGTCATGACAGCAAGGTTCACCTGTCCACTTCTCTCCGCGGATCTAAAACGAATAATCAATGTGTAGAAAAGGTACTTCAATCACAGGACTACACGGCACAACCTGTAATGGCTGACATGGGTCGTTGATACAGTCAGAGATGCATGTGTGGCTTGTTGCCGCCGCCCATTGACAGCTCCGTCGGAATCCGCGAATTTGTCTCCTCTTCCACATCCAGCGAACAGTGTACCCTCTAGGACGGATCAAACAACGCGGAAGCCTGTCACGATGGAGATTTCAATTTGTTACGAAGGCCGCGGTGACCTAGTTTCTCAGCTTGAACCAAGAGCAAGATGGCTGGGTACATAAAGATGGACACGAAGCACGAGAGATGAGACTAACCAACAACAACAACAACAACCACGACGAAAACAAGATTAAAAAATCAAATTGAGAGACCGTATCTGTCAAGTATAGATCAAGATGCCCTACGCCGGCAACCCTCCTTCTCCTACGGAGAACAAGGTCTCTCAGATCCTCTCAATCATCTCAGCGTACCATCACCGCTCCGCTACCGTCCCTGATCGCTTCTCCGAATTCGCTCCAGAGCTAGAGAAACAACTCACTGAGACTGTCTCCAACGGGGCGGCAGTGCGATTCATCCTTCCAGCCTTCCCCTTCAAGGCCCCTGCTGAGGGAGACAAGCGCAAGACTCTGGGCCCTCTGCCAGACAAGGCGGAAGAGATCGCTTTGCAGACCCTCGACGGATTCGCTGACTCCATTGCTGAGATCTACGAGGGCGGTGCCACTGTTGTAATTGTCTCGGATGCGTCTGTATACGGAGGTATGTGTACCAAAGAATCTCCTGTGAGACCGACAGACTTGCTTATGGGAAGCAGACCTCTTGAAGATTTCCGACGCCGACGCGTTTGCCTACCATCAGGAATTGAAGAAGCTCGCCTCGTCTCTTGGTCTCACTCATCTTGAATTTGTCCGCCCTGGAACTCTTGCCGGCATTGCTCCCGAGGAGGCGAAGACGGTCGAGGAGTATGCCGACCACGTTTCCAAAACCCGCAACCTTCTCGATGGTACTCTGGCTCAGGCGGTCGACCCCAACGAGGATGAGAATGTGCAAGCAACAAGCAAGCACTATGACACGGCACTGCCTCAAACCGAAGATCCCGAGGCTTTCAAAGCTGCCATGCTTAAGCGGGGAAAGGTAGGCCCTGGTTCGATACAGCCGTTCGTCACTATGTTGCTAACCTGTTCAGGCCTATGCTAAGCTGATTGCCTCCTCGGCGCAATCGACAATCCGTCTGTCTATCCACGAGTCTAACAATGTCGGCAAAATCACTCTTGACCTCTTCCCCCCTTCGACCAATCCGGACTTCATCACCCCCTGGCACGGCGCCGTGGCGGTCCTCGCAGACGCCAGCGTGCGCATTGTTGATGCCTCGACCGTCGACATGACCAAGTTCGAGGTCATCACCAACCACGAGGGCCGCCCCTGGCTGCTTCGCGAGAAGTCCGACCTTTTCGACTGGTTCGGCATGGAGCTGGACTTCGAGCCTCTCTTCCCCTGCGGTATGCTCGTCCGCCCCAGAGACGGATACGGGCCCTACAGGTTCGAGGATGTCAACATGAAGCGCGTGCGTCGACTCGCACTGTCCACCGCCCCGCTCCTCCTGCGCGGCTTTACCATGCAAGTCGAGAAGGAAGTATTCCGCAGCAAGGCCCGCGAGCTGGGCGAGATCCAGATGTGGCCCTTTGGCGACATCCTCGAGGTCCGCGAGAACGCCGACTTCAACATGAACAATGTGCTCACCCGCGAAGCCATGCCCTTCCACTACGACGGCGTCTTCAAGACCGTCCAGGACGAGAAGACGGGCGAGTGGATCTCCGTCCCGCCCCTCTTCCAGATGTTCCGCAACCGTGCCGCCTCCCAGTCCAAGGGCGGACTGACCCTCTTCGCCTCCTCCCGCAACCTCATCCCTCTCCTCGGCCCGGACAGCATCCCGCTCGAGGACCTGCGCAAGCTCAAGTGGAAGACCTTTACCGCCGTCAACGAGGCATTTGGCGGCCACGAGCTCCTCCTGCCTTTCATCATCACCCACCCAGAGTCCGGCGTCGACACCTTCCGCTTTCACGAGCCCTGGCCAGAGAGCAAGTGTGTGCCCGGAAGCAGTGAGCCGACGATCGTGCGGGTGGTGGACTGGCCCGTGGCCGAGAGCGACGCGCTCTGCGAGAAGCTCACCCGGCTGCTGTACGATCGCCGGGTGGCCTACCGTCACCAGTGGAAGGCGGGAGATTTCATCTTCAACGACAACGCCATGACCCACCACACTCGCACAGCGTTCGAGGATGGTCACCGCGAGCACTGGCGTGTGCATGTCAGCTAGAGCTTTTTCTCTTTTAGCGAGCATGGTTTCTCTTTGTATCAGGGATAAGTAGACGATGAGAAAATTGAATCTGTTTATAGTTGTTGTATGCTAGTCATGCCTCATTTAATGACTTTGGTTATAAAACTATCTTTATCTTCAAGTTGACAGACACAATGCCCAAAAGATCTCAATAAAAGACACCGGCATATCGCACCCCACATTCCTTCGAATAATGACCAGTCAACATTCTAGGCTTATATCCCCGTTTGGTCATGCTGTCGAAAAACGTCTTGTACATCTCCGCGGTGGAGCTACCCTCATCATACCAAAGTCGAACGCCATAGCCCGGGCCGGTATATCTCTCCCAAACCGAGTCAAACACGGGCTCCCCATCCACCGAATGCGCATGAAGATACGTGGGCTTCCACTCGGCGGCATCCACTCCTACATTCAAAACACCGGTTCGATTGGTGTAGTAGAGCCACTCCCCCTTCCAGTCCGCGGACGTGCGCTCCCCCCAAGTGGCCGAATAGCGCAGTTCATTGTTGATCGTGTAGCCGCTGAGGGAGGTGAGGCGCAGGGGCGACAGGCCGGCAACCTTTTCCTTGAGCTGGTCCGTTGTCAGATCCACCGACTGTGTCCAGACACCGATTGGCGACTTCTCCCAGATTGTGACGAATCGTCTCTCTCCGTTCTTGAGGTTATACCCGTTGAGGACGACAGGATGGTAGTTCTTGCTCCGGAGCTCGGTGGAGAGATCGGTGTACTGGGTACCCGTGAGCCCGTGTCGGCTGATCCAGGGGACGGCGGCGGCAGCGTTCGTCTTTTCCCAGATGCTGGAGAAGAGAGTCTGTTCCTGCTCGGGGGAGTAGTACCCGTTCACGTAGGTGAGCCTGTATCCGGCGTGGGTGCGCTCCAGGAACTCCGCTTGGTGTGCAGTCCCGTTGAGTCCCAATTCGTAGTGGAATAGCTTGGACACATCCGCTGTGTAGGCTTGGGCAGCCAGAAGCAAGACCGTCGTCAGTAGCTTGGAGAGCATGCTGCCGTTGGAAGGATATGTATCAGATGATTATACAGGTCCTTTTGGAAAGAAAACCAAAGAAGAAAACCAAAGGAGTGACAAGAAGATATGAAAAGAGTGACAAAATAATGGTAGGAAATAATCTGTCTCTAAGGAATGGCCATTCGAATTGAAATGATGGGAGCAATGTTGGAATTGAGGGTATCCCCTTTATACAAGGTACATCTTTTGCTTCTGAACCCCAGAACAAGGGTGACAGTGTTATTCGGTATATTAATAATGTTTACGAGGAAGCTAACACAAATGGGGGAACAAAATACGAGTGGGATCAAACTATACGATGAATTCTCTTGTAAATAGAGTCGATCTTCGCTTGGTGCTGTCAAGAATACGAGACGAAGGAGCCCTATTGCTTCTATGGGATTGCTCTGGAGATTGTCGACCAAAGGGAAATTCCTCCGTAGTCGGATGAATAGAGTCTACTATCCAGCAGAGATTGTATGCACTCCTCCAGCATCTGGTAGCATTTGAAAGTTCACTCTAATTGAGAGAGTCGGTCTGAGAAAAGATACATCAACAGCGTCCGATACATTGTCTGGAACTCTTCACCTGTGGTTTCTCAGGCAGGAAACTTGAATATCATCCCCTCCACACCATGAGGTACCATGAGCTCCTTAAATCCTTGCAAATGCACCCAACCGGTGTCTCTGCATAGTGCTGTTTGTCCTCAAAAAGCATGTTTTTATACATCTCATGACGGGAGATGACTGATGAAGGATGACTATTTGCAGAAACCGCACCCACAAGGAAGCATTCAGCGGTTCTTACGGAGCGCTGATGCTGAAAGAGGTGTTTGAGGACTAACTCCAGAGCAGCCGGGTCACCATAAGAGAGGCAAAAATGGCGAGTCATAGGGAAGCCTCTTCGTCGTTTCATCGAAGCCCTTTCCACTACACTGATCAGCCCAGGCATACCATATGGTAGAGTATCTGAGAAAGAGACAGGAGACCTACTGAGATATGTCAATCGGCGAAGCTCTGGAATACACTAACGCCAATCCAACCAAGAAAGTGGGCTCCATGAAGGTTCTTCGAAAGGCAAACGGAACCTATCCGGCCTGAAGATAGACGTCCGACCCGGGTATCACTGCTCCTCGTCAGAACGCCTATCACTCAGATACTATGATGTAGATTCAGAGACAGCTTCCCGCTGCCTCTTGGATTCTTCTTCCTTTCTCTTTTCCTTCGGCCTGGCCCGCCGGCAGCAGATACAGCACCAGACACCCGACGCAATAAGTGCGACACCGATGATAGGGATGCCTATCATTATAAACCTCATAAGGGTATCCCAGCCGGGATTATAATCTTGCCTGTCACTGCCCATTTCGTACTTGCCTGGGGGGATCGTCTCCCCCGGCACCCATGTCGGGACGCGCATGGAATTCGTTAGTACTGGCAGCGATGGCGACATGGTCTTTGTGTCGGACGCTTCCCATGAGATCTGCCATGCAGGGTGCACTTGAATCCCGCTTGTGAATATGACTGTTGAGCCCTTGCCATGTGAAAATGTCCCAGTGACTGTCTCACCAGCAGTCATTGTATGGAAGCATGATGCTGTAATGTTCGCACGGTCATAGTTTCTGGATAGAGAGTAGCCTCTATACCGCAAGTCAGCCTTATTTTTGCAAGGTTAACGGGAAATCAAAAACAAAAGACAGAAAGAAAAAGACCTACTCAGAGCAGCAGAAAGCAGTTGAGCGTGTCTTTATGTGTTTGTTATCAGTGTAGCTTTGTTCTGTGGACATTTCCCAGTATGTCCAACCTCTGGGGCACACGGCTGGGCTGAACGAGAAGCGCTGACTCCCAACACTGTCCCATCCTGGTATTTGACAACGGGCAAATCGCTCGTCTGCCGGGTCTGACAAGATGATAGTCGTTTGTTTGGTGATAGTGGTGTTGATTGTTATTGAGGCAGTTGTGATATCCCAGATAGAGGCACATTCGGGGGGCTGGACAAAGGGCGTTGTGATGGCTAGAAGTGAGGTTGTAGTTGCAGCATTTGTACTCGTTGTCTCGCGGGCAACCATTTTGGCAGCGCCAGCACCTGCCATGGACTCATGGAGTTGGTAGACATGGACATGATCATGATGGGAGAAGTAGGGGGTTAGGATGATGATATAACAAGCAGCACGGAGTTCATTTGCCAGGTTTCACTTTGCAGGTGTCTTAGCGATGGATTCGCACTCTGGCACCAGTCAGAACGGGGTTTCCTTCATTTTAGGCGGGCTTGGCTATCACTAGTTCTCGTCTCTTGGAAAAGGTTGGTCGGTTTGGACAGAGTAGAATGATCTTGCTTGGCGATACGACCTTGTCGACGCCGGTGTCTTGGCCTCGCAATAGGGACCCGTCTCTCACCCCCAACCCCAGAAATAGGAGCATCGAGGCCATTACACTGTTCTGAGTATGGATGATGTGAGTCTCTACAACTTTGCATGTCAACATGTTTACTGCCTGGATACGTGCTCTGCTACGAACATAGATCCTTCTAAGCCCTCTAATCCTTCTAACACCTGTAGTCCGGATGATGTTACCTACAGGAGCAAGGCTGTCGCAGATGGGGGCTTTAATGAAGCCCACGAACACAGCCGTGGCAGGAAAACAACATATTGTGAACCTACCACCACACCATTCCAAACCGAGCACACACACTCACGTATCTGCGAAACTAATTTCGAGAACTACCGATGGTACATTGTGCTATTGGCATCAAGGTAGCATGTAAGACACGACGCTTACGCTTTCTGAAAGGACAACCAGGACTAAGGAGAATCCCTTAATGAGCAATAACCGACGAATTGGCACAGGCCGCATACCCAAAAGCGAGCAGATGTCGATCTTAACATATTTGGTTAGAGCAGGGAGCCTCGTCTAGCCTGCTTGCCTGGCTCCACGGAGTCCGTGGGCAGATACTGTAACAGGCTAACGTGCTGCTAGGGATGGACACACGTGCAAGACCTGCAGTGTGTGCATGGCTCAGCCCTAGCCATAGTGCCATACGACCTTACAAACTACGGAAAAGGCCATTAATTTACTTGGATTTGTGGAAGACCTGGTTTTGAACCTATTTCGAGGTATTTGCTGCAAGATTAAATCAATCTATTATTGGTGCTGCAGGTAGTGCAAAGCGCATTCTAAAGAAACATCTAACAAACATGATCTTGGCGTAAATGGCGTGACAGTTAACCGTTGTAAGAATCCTCAAGCATTCGCCTTGTCAACAGAAGTCTCGAAGGCGCCATCAGTGCTGCTCGCAGCATCCTTCTCATTCTCCTTGTTGTCGAACCGGTTGTCCCGGACGAAGAAAACGACAATGAAGAAGGCGATAGCCGCAAAGCCAATACCGAGCCAGAGCGCACCGCGATACCCGCGCACAATGTCCTTCCCGCCGTTGTTTACATGCCCCTCAACGGTAGCGGCAATACCCAGACCGATTGAGATGGAGTATTGCACGACTGTGGATATGAACGAGCCGGCAACACCCTGCTCCTCGGGCAAGACCGCGTTCGAGATGAGGATCCCCGACGAGGCGAAGGAGAGATCCGGTCCGCCGACGACGAGCAGACACGCGGGGAAGATAAAGGCCCAGTAGACAGGAGAGTAGTTGACGAAGCTCATGAGCAGGTTACCGATGAAGAAGGAGAACATCGAGACGCCGAAGATGTACTGCGCCGGGACCTTGGCGATGAAGATGCCGACTGAGGCAGTGGCGAACAGACCGCCGATGACCAGCGGGACCATCTGTGCAACGGCCGTGAGCGGCTGCGCCTTGTGGACGGTGAGAATGTAGATGGTCGTGTAGTAGAGGAAGATGCCAAAGGACATCCAGCCGAACGACATGGCCGTCACGACGGGGGAGAAGCCCTTGCGGGTCCAGAGCGTATTAGGAAGGACGGGAGCCCGGACGTGCGACTGCGAGAAGGCAAATGCAACGATCAAGAAAATGCTAACGATGAGAAGGGCGTAGACGTAGGGTTCTTCCCAGCCCACCACGGAGGCTTGGTTCCAGGCGAAGGAGAAGAGGATGAGTCCCGAGACACCCAGGACCGTTCCGAGGTAGTCGAATTGCTTGATGCTGAGTCCGGGAATCGGCGATCCCACGCTGTGAGGAACAATGAAATAGGTCACCACGCCGAGGACGAGGCAGCCAATGGCCCAGAACCAGAATCCCCATCGCCAGGTGACTTTTTCTGCAAAGGCAGCGCCGATGAGTCCACCGAAGATGTAACCCGAAGGCGCGCAGAACCCGAGGAAAGCAAAGGCAATGTTCTTCTTGACCGAGAATGGAGGGAATGCACGCGCCAGGAGGGCGAACGAGTTGGGGACCAGTGCGCCGTTGCCGATCCCAGTCATCCCGCGGGCAATGTCGAAGAGAACCACATCCTTGGCAAAACCGCTGACCAGAGACCAAAGAGCCATCCACATCCACCCGAAGAGGAAGACATACTTGTGGCCAAAGTGGTCACCCAGTCGTCCAGTGACCAGAACAAAGACACCACCGCAGAGGGAGTATGCGGCCAGGAACCAAGACATCTGACCATTGCTTGTGGCGTTGAGGGAGCGACCGATTTCCTGCACAGAGAACGCTGCATTTCCAAGACCGCCAACAGAAAAGAGCTGCGACAAGCCGATGACAAAGATGAAGATGGCCTCTTGGAAGGTCGATGAGAAGGCGGATGGAGGACCTCCGGCGTCTGGTTCGCCAGCACCGCCAGGTCCTGCCATTAGATCGTCGGGTCGGTCGACTTCCTCTTTGCTGAGAGGTCTGCTGTTAGGCACCGTGGACCCGTCGATAGAAGACATGATGATTTCGATGTTCTGTCAGGTTGAGCCTGTGTGACGACGAAAGAAGTCTTTGGGTCAGGTCTGTTTGAGTTATCTAGGTAGGACAAGACAGACGAGAGGGGAGAGAGGTGAGAGTGTTGTGATACTGGGCTTATAACCCATTTTGAGTTTTGTATT